TCAGTTGAATAAAGTGTGTAAATACTTCTGAAGATGTGGATTTTCAGAACCATTTTCAGAACCATTATACAATGGCAGATTTTAAGCTTTACTTCTTCTTGAGCACCACACAAGATTGTGACTTCTTCTGACATAATATTTTAAAATATGCTTTGAATAAATAAAGTGTCAGACAAGTCCCATTATTTCATTGAACTGGTACAGAGGAATCACGGGAAGTAAATCCTAATATTTAAATAATTGGTCAGGTTTTTCAGCAACAAAATATCCACATGCAAACATCCACACACACTCATTTACTTCAGAATTCAGGTAAGAAATGACATCAAGGTGGTATTGGAACTTCAGTTATTTGTGAAGAATCCCCACATCCTTGAAAAGCACATGAATTCTCTACAGACAATACAGCAAGCGCATGCAGAGGTACCACTAAGTGTTACTCCTCAGAAGTCTGAATTTAGTTATAACAAGCACTGATGCTCACTGAAAGGGCTCAGAAAGCTTAGGCCCAGATTTATAGTGTCATTTGACAAAAATTCAATAGCTTTTGGAGAGCAGTTCCTTGCCAACACAGATGTTGCCGCAGACATCTGTTAGCTCAACAATGCTGAGGTTCATCTCCCTCTGCAATCCCACCCTACCAGGCAATGGTCTGGAAAACCTCAAAGCAGAACACATTAAGTTCAAGAAACCATTTCAGGGATCCTGACTTCTCTCCCTTATCATCTGTAGCACATGTTTACTGTTTACGGCTCATCACCAGCACACGCAATCACTTATATCCTGAATGTTCAAGGAGCTCTGTAGCTGAGGAAGTAAATGCATTAATATTCAGAACTACCTGCAGAGATCCAGGCTTGGAAAGGTTCACGATTTCATACTGCAATGCCTGGGTGCCTCTGCCACACCGTGCTAACCTAAGTCCCTCCTAACAAGTGCAGCTTGCATACATAAAGCAATATTGATTCAGCTGTGCAGAGCTGTTTGCCCAGCCTTTCAGAAGCACAGCTTCTCCAAACACTGCTGCAGACATCGGAGCTGTCTTCCAAGGAGAGGGGAGGTGTTTGTCAGCCAGGCTCGGCTCAACAACGCTCTCTGCGCCAAACACTGCATTTAATTAACTCCCCTTGCTTGGCCTCACAGAGATGTTTTCTACTATCTGATCTTGTCTGCATGAACCCCATTCTGATTTCATGCAGGATGGAGGATTGCAGCCCCAGCCTCTTTCGTAAATAAACCTGCCCTGACTTGTAAATTGTTGATAGGAGCAAAGATATCATGGTATCCATGCCCGCATAAAGCACAGCACAGAACTGCTTCCTGAAGCAAAATATCTGGAGATTAAAGCTAAAGGAAAGAATGGCACCCTTCCAAATGAGCAGTTCAAACAGGTTAATAAAGAGAGGACATAAGGGATGGTTATTTAGAAATGAACACTTTTATCTGTACCACATGGTGTCTTTCCCAGTGGCACTGCTAGAATTCAACAGCACAATTTCACGAGAAAGAATAAGAACTAGTCTTTGTTTTGCTGTTCACAGGAGCCAGTTTGTTTAAACCTTCCAACAAGGAAGATAAACAAGCTGATGTTTTACATGAACTGCTTTATCTGTCACTTAAAATGCAAAACAAAACATGACATATTCCTGCTTATCCAGCTGTACTAAATTTAGTATATAAATACAAGGACTGTTCAAGGGTAAGCAAAGAATTTCTGTCTCAGAGATCCTCTAAAAATTCCTTCTTGATTTTTTTTTTCTTTCCTTTTCATACAAACACATTCTAGGTAGAGCTGTTAAGGAAAAAATACACTCACAGGCAAACTCTTCTTCTTGAACTTCTAACCCAGACAGCAAAGTGTATGTGAAGGTGTGAAAGTCATACCCCCTTTACCTACAACTGTGTCACCACACATACCATCACTGCAAATACTATTCCTACTTAATTGGAATTTAATAACTAGAATAATAAAAATATTCTTATTCTTCTATATATCTTCTTTAATTAAAATGATATTTGCTTCCTGTTTTATCTGTAAAAGCTTTTCAGAATGTATTGGGGAGGGCAAGAACTTCCAAGCTTATAGTATGCCAGGTTACTTTCTATCAGAGACTGCAGATCACAGGCATATTCACCACCTTTCCCATCACCCTTTTTAGCTGCAGGCTTTCAAGCTTCAAGCACTTTAGATGGGTGAAAATGTCAGTTCCTCCAGCTCTAAGAAAGAAGCAGTGAGGTACCAGAAGATAAATAAATGACATCTAAGTCAATTCACCTCTCAAAGTTCTGACTTTGCAAAGAAAGAGTCCAGGAAAACTAACTCAGTCTTTTTGCCTGGCTTATCCTTATGCCATTAAAATTAACATGAAACAATATGTTCCTTCTTAACCACTTGATGAGTCAGTGCAGCTCAGAAAACTGATAAAAGGTTTGTGGAAATAAATTAATATTGCATGAATACTGCTGGAGCTATTAAACAAGCCTAAGCAGGAACCCATCACTGAAGCCAAAAGAGACCTTTACATGATGAGAGAAAGTGGCAGAAAAGTCAACAATCATTATTACAGCAAGTTCTTTGCCCTGCAAAAATGGCATGTGATATAAACAGATGTAAGCAGCCCTTATCTCTAATATAAACAGCTATGCTGCTTATCTCAGATCTCACCTTTCTATAACATTGATTTTAACAACACAAAACCCATTCTTTTAACACCTTTTTTGTCTTAATGGAAAGGAAAATTTATCAAAATATTTCAGTAAAAACATCTCTTCAGATGAAATAAGAAGGGAAGAAGAGTAGGGGGTTTTTAAGCTACGAAATAACTCAGTTATTGGTGTTTTGGTTATGCTTTCACAAGTATGCATGAAATAGACTTGAAATCTACAGTTGATGACAGATATGAGACAGCAAATGCTGTGAATTATGTCTTTAGTAGGCAAACCTAGCTTTATTTCTGCAAATGTGGTCAGTTTTCTCTGCCTCTGCTGAAGGCAGAGAAAAAGATCAGAATTATCAGCCTTCCTGCAGGAGTCAGAAGCAGATCTGCTGATCACATGCTACCAAAAAGCAGCTGCTGCTTCTTACCCACTTTCACACTGTACTTCAGAAATACCCACTTGTGTGACAAGAAAGGAGGCAAAGCTTTTCAAAGTACGCTCTGCTTCTGAGCACAGTGACCTCCACAAACTCCAGTTCCTGAACTCTCAACCCAGCAAAGCACTCAAATTTTAATATATCAGAATTCCTGAAAAATTTCAGAGGTACAGGTGAATCAGCAGCACTTTGGGCAGGAAAAAATGTGAAGGATTGCTCCTCAGAAGCAAGAGCCAACTTCCTTTCTGCTACACATAAAAAAAAAAATTTGGTAGTTTTTTAGTACTTCAACATACGATCTCCCAAAGATCCTGTTTATTTTCTCAGGAATGGTTTATCTTCACTTGCATCAAGGAGAGCATTTAAAATACATTCTACATAACATTTTCCCAGTGGACAAACAAGAATGAAATATTTTACAGTTACCTTAGACACTTGGACAGAATCCCTGCAAGTACTTTTTAAAACAAGATCAGACAATAGAAAATATTATTGATCATCTGTCTTACTCATTACTGACATTTCTTTAAGTTAGTTATGCCAAAACATGAGTAGTTCTATAGAAAAGGTCCATGTAAATTCAAAGATACAACTTCCATAATTCAATTCTGCATGCTACAGAATGTCATATGGACATTTGACAAACTGTCTCTTCATTTAAGGAAACAAGTAGAACAAGAAGTTAGGAAGTTACATTTACAGGAACAGCAAAGTCTTCAATAGAGAGATCCCTTAAATTACAGAAATTTCTATCATCTGTTGCATAAATTGCCCACTATGCATTGTCTGCAGCATGTAACAGTTGCCTATGATTAAACCTGCTTGCACTGTGGAAAACTCCAGCCTAAGCACTGGAAAATATTGATAGTCACCAAAATTCAACCTGTACAAATCTGTCACTGCCCTTCCCGGTGTCAATGATGGGGATTGTCAATACAAAAGACTTATAAATTTGCATTAGTCTGATGTTAAACAGTACTGGAAATTTAATCTCATTTCATCCTAAATGTTCATTAGCTAAACCTTATTAATATCTTAATTTATTAATAGACCTATATTATTGTTTGAGTTTGATGGAAAACAAAGCCTCTCCTTTATAATATGATGTCACAAACAATTTCATATACAATACTTAATGTAAATATTAACCTCTCTAATTACAGATATACATATTGCCATGTATTTCTATGTCAAATAACACTACAAAAACTACTCCCTTCCTCCTTTCACCACAAATACACATTTTATAGCAGTTATTACTTCAAACACCTCTCTCAAAACATCCTCTGTCCTTCACAGGGAATTAAATAATTTCATATAGCACATTTCCAATCTTCAACTATTATTAGAAAACATCTTTTGTACTATTCCATTAGCCTCATTCATATGTTGTGTTGTCTTTTTGGACTTACTGAAAATGAATTATGCAGGACAGTAAAAGAAAGCTGTTCCTGCATAATTCAAGTAAAATCATAGAAAAAGGAAGCAGTATAATCAACAACTGCAGTGTTCCTTTGAGACTTTCTTTCTTATTGTATAAAATAACAATCTTTTGAAGAAGAGGAGACTGATAATTACTCAACATCATCCTCTAAAAAAGAGGAACAAACTGAAGGTAACAAAACAGTTATTTTCACCCATATTAAGACAAATTAAATGTTAGCATATTTCAGTGTGCTTAATTAAATTAAAATCTATGTCACATAAATGGTTTTGCTCATGGTTGAGAGAATTTTTTTTTTAATCTATTAAATTCTTCCTAACTGCGGACCATAATGGTCATACCTGGTAGTTTTCCTTTTCCCCTCCTTCTCACTCACATATGAATTTGGTTTACTGAATCAAACACACAGCAATTACAGAGTGGAGGGCAGACCAAGCAGCAAACAAAACCTGGAAGACTTACCATTAACACAGACTTCATAAGACTTGCAAAGGTCATCCTCAAACAGGCAGCCTAAAAACACAAAAGAAAGATAAAAATTAATACAGGTGTCAAACTGTGGATAGTTAGTGCATTGAAGACCTGTTAATGCTGTGAAAAAGTCAGGCATTTGGTTGGCCTTGGGAGCTCAAACTGGGCAGTAGAGGAAGTCCAGAACAGGTCTGATTAGACAGCACATCTAACTAACTGGCTATGTCCAGAATAATCTTTGAAGTTTTCCTCCCCTCATTTCTCTCCTGAAGGTTCAGGTTTTTTCCCATGCATGTCTCTCTCATTAATTAATTTGAGGGACTTTATGTTCTCTCAATTTTGAGCACATTATTATATCACAGCACAGTAATGCTGCAATACACTGCAAGAATATACACCAAGAAACCAAGAGCATCCTGACAGTATTGCCACAGCAATGGACAAGCCTTTAAATCTGCCTATAAATTGCTCAGGTTAAGCTTGGGTTTAGTAACTGCAACACTGACCATTCCTAAGACTTCAGGAGTGCTAAGTCCTTGGAGAAAGGCTTCCAAATTAACCCACCCCTACCAACACCCTAATACCTCACAGACAGCTGACAAATCAATATAGGCCCATGAAAAATATCCTTGGATTTTTTTGATTTAAAACAAGAAATTTGATCCTGAAGTTGCTGCTGATGAGACCCTACAACACAAGCTCCATTCCTCATCATAGAAACTTCATTGAGGCTGGCAATCCCAGCTCTTTCACTTGTACACATCTTTGTGGATAAAATATTCTGTTCCCTTGTCACCAAACTGTTCTGGCAACCAGGCATTGAGACAATAGTTGTTTTTGCTTTTATCCTCAACCAAAATGAGTCCTTGCTGATAGTTGTGAAGGCAGCAGGGAAGTGGGCAAGATGAGCCCCTGCTCTGGTCACTCCACACTGGGGCACAGGGACAAGGATCAGGTGCAAAGGCACTGTGAAATATCCTGCTACTGCTAAGGGCACTCACTTTGTTTACCCAACCAGTAGTTTCTTTATTTTCTGACAGGGCTAAAGGGCTAGGACTGGAGCAAATCTGGGGAATGAAGCTATATGTTGGACACAAACACTGCCCTTAAGAACACATTTGCACAACTAAGACTTTTCATTTTCCTGGCAAATATCTTATTTATAAATGGCCACATGGAGTTATGATATTAAGCAATATTGAACTTTTCCACACCTTGCATCAAGAAACCAGCAGGAACTACACCAGATCCAAACCAATGAGCAAATCCTCTCTCCCCAGCCATGCCCATCTCCATGAAAGCACAAAATACAGCACCTCTAATCACCAGGGAGTCCAGTGGATTATGTAGTATGTCCTTAGAAAAAGAACTGAAAGGCTCAGAACCCTCTGACCATGAATTACTTGGCTCCTAATCCTGCTAAAAGAAAAGTTTTGGTGAGATAGAGTGACTTAGTAATTTCTGAAAAGGCTTTCAGCAGATAACTGTATTAGCACATCATTAAGCCTGAACTAATATACTGTATATCTCAGCAGGACTTTAGCAGCACATGCTAGGTCTGAGCTAGACAAGCCCAGCTATGTGAATTCAAGACATGCTGGAGAACAAACAGTTCCTCACATCCATCCCACACCTGCCTGCAAAGACCACATACACATAACCTTGCACAGATTTACAATATGCACACAAATAAAAGAGTTCTCTCATCCTTTTACTCATGTCCCAGTAAACTGTGGATATACATTTGGTACCTTTTGAAAGGGAAGTTTCAGACAAGCAAAGCTTCTTCACACACAGTATGGCAGAATGGATGTGTCCACATAGTACACAAACTATGGTTTGTAACATATTCTTGAGATGTGGATGATTTTGCTCCAGACAAGTCTGCTGTAAGAACCATCTGACCTGAAACAGTGGCTGGAAGCCCACTGAAGATACCTGACTGCAGCTCTGCTACTGACCCAGCCAAGCAGGAGGATGTCTGAGCTGTACATTGACTCATAAAGGGCATCAGACAAGAACAATGAGAGGCAGTAACCAAAACACATCCACACAGAGCTCACAGAACAAAAGTCTAATTAAAAGAATAACAATGCTCACTTTAAAAAGGCATTCTTGCAGGAAAAAAAAAAAATAAAGACTTCAAGCACCAATATAAACTAGACTTGGAATGTATACTTCAGTGTTCCTGTTACCAGAAATCTGAAGTTAACTCTTCTAAAAAAAAAATAAAAGGTTTCACGGCTAGGAAAAATCAGTATTCCTTTTTTCCCTGAGAGATTAAAAAAAAGAATTAAAACCAGAAAACTGAAGTATCTGTGTCCAGCAAAATGCTGCTGAATTTGTCCTGTGATAGAGGGAAGACAGTTTTGTAGTCATTTCCCATCCTGCAGTGCTGTGGAGCCAAAAGGTGTCAGATGAGAAGTTGCAGCCAGGAATATTTCTAGTGGAATGGCATGTTAAAACAGTGACAGGTTCACCTGACTCCAATGATTTGAAGCACCTGGGAGCTGGGATTACAACCACAGGTTGTAAAAAACTACAAACTACAGGTGTCTGTAGCCACCTGCCAGAGACAGGCCATCCTATAATGAGGAGATTCTCAGAAGCAGAAAAATACAGATGGAAAATGAACAAAACAAGCCTGCTTAGGTATAAAGAAATGAACAGTCATGCTACTTCTCTACAGAACTCTGATTTTGCTTTACTGACTAATAAATTTTCCAGGAAAAGCACAAAAGAAAACTGGCACTATCATGTTTTAGCTTCTCTTTTAATAACTGTTGTTTATTTGATGCTCACTGCAGCAAGGAATCTGATGCAATCAGACTTGTAAACCCATGTCTTGAAGAGCAAACTAGAAAAGTCAATGCATAGTAAACTATATCCATGTAGGATTACTCTAAAATAGACAAGGACCTCCAAAATGTCTTGAAAAATATTTTTTTTTCTAGTTATTTATTGCTAGAGTTGATTGTTATGCATATTTCACCCAACCAGTCAATATGCTAATTTAGCTACTAATTTATCTCCTGCTATTTGCTGGAACACTAAGAAGTATCATATTTCATTTTAAATACCATGTACCCACCATTAGTAATGGTGGTAATAAGTCAACTCTGAAGAGTGAAGTGGTATCATCTCCAAAATATATTTAGTTCAGTTCATGCCTTATGGGAGCAAAATCACATTGCATTTTCTATCAAAAAAATCTCCCTACCACGAAAATGTCCCAGTACACATAAACTGTTGATACATTACTTTCAAACACCAAACCTAAAGCCCCAGTCTCACATCACACAGCAGCCCTGAAATAACAAAGTCTCCACACAATTATCCAGTACACATTGACTTGTTAAATGTAGAATTTAGAGTTTTCTTACCTAACTTACTGACACTGACATTCAACTCTTTATTAACACTTGCATGGTCTCTACATCTCAATAGTGACAAATCAGGTTAACATGCTGTATATCAAGTACACTACAGTGTATTTACGTGGTGTATTATTTAATAGTCACAAAAAGAGATTCCATAGGGCCTTGCAAATTCTTCTGCCTCCCTTTCCTCCCCCTCTACATCTCCAGTGCTGTTTCTCAGAAAGGCAGCGAAACATAATCACAAAATACTGCTGCAAGTACAGGACCTAAAAGTTTATGTTTCTTTTTTTCAACTTATTCTTCTCATGAGACACTAATAAAACTATCTCCTTCTCTTCATCATACAGCAGTTCTGCTTTCCTAAAGAAAAAAATAGGAAAGTTTAAATTGCACTGGAACGTATTGTTTGTTTTGACTTATACAAGGAGCCTCTGAAGGTTAGGACAGTCAATGCAGCAGATGAAGTCACTTGAACTTCATCTAGAAGAAACTGTAAAAATTCTCTTATAAGGAAAATATTTTTTTAAGACTGACATTGACTGATGATTCAAACAGATTATATTATGTTTATTTCTCTGTCCTTTCCCCCTGTTAACCAACTCATGATGATCCTAAACGAAACACCTCTCCCAAGAATGCCATCAATCCTGTAAGCATTTTTCTAAATTAAAATTTAAAAGTAGGTCATAGATAAACTCCCTGTTTATCAAAAGTTGTCTTATAACCATCAAAACAAAAAGCCACATAACAGGCAAAACCAGCTACATTTCTTCTGAAATTGGGAAAATACAAACCTTTTAACTCTTTTGTGTTATTAAAGGATCTCTACCTTTTCCTTTCACTCTCTTACTCTAATATTCATGGAAGCACTCAATGTCTCCTCACATCTGCAGACCTTAACAACCCCTGGCCCATCACAACCTCAGTCAGTAATTGTCCCCTTAATCAAAATATGCCAGCAGTCCTTAACATTTTAATAGTCCAGAATGAAAATGCACCCCACATTTACCTGTTTATTTCACATTTGGCTGCAAGATGTGGTCAGGAGACCTTGCAGGGTGAGCTCATCACTGCTGGTGAGGGTAAAAAACAAGGAAACACCTGGGCAGGTCAATGTCTCCTTGGGTCTTTAGCCCCAGCTGTGGAAGACTCTATGTAGTGAGTCACATTGTTTTCCTGTAGTAGGATTAATAAATATGGTCCAATAATTATATTTTAGATATGCTTAATTCACACAACTGTGATGGCTTTAACTGAAAAAACCAAGATGATGCCCAACGATAACAAATGATAATCTGAACACATTGGTAGGAAAAATGAAACAACGTTTCTTGCAGAAAACTGATGGGAGAAGTCATCTGTTAGAGAGAGAAATATTCTGCTCACTAATAGAGGTGAGAGATAAATTTGCTCAGTCTGCTAAAGCTGTGATCTATTCAACACATCCTCATCTGTCTGCCACACATGTGTGCTTAACAAGTCTAGAATTATCAAAAATTGCAAGAATGTCTGGGGAAAATGTACATCAAGCCGATCACAGGCTTTAAGCAAATTTCATCCCAATTTCCTAAACCCTGGGGTTACACAGGTATGTCCACATGCAACGTAAGTATATACTCATCACTCAAAACTTACCAATTGCCTGTTAAAAATCAAGAGACT